GGTTCGTTTTCAAAGCCGTTCAAGAAGGTCATTGTACTTAAACTCATTTAAAATTAGGATCCGAAAAAAGATGTTGAAAATAGCTTTTCAGGAAGTGCCGTCTACTTGCCACTGTTTTGCAGAATTAACGTTTATTGTCAACTGACTGCACTCTTTTGTATGCCGACGTTTGAAACTGAAAGTCAGCCGACTGGAAAGCTTAAATGTGTATTTAAATAATTTCTTCCATATGCATACTTTCTGACCTGCATTATCTCTTTTCTGAGAAGTCGGTTTCAAGAATCGACCACAACTGTAAGATGAATTCTGTAGTTTAGTGAACTTCGGCACAGAGAGAGACAGGCCTTATTTTGGAGGTATCGTTCCGAAATTCCCAGCAAATAAAGCTTCCATTCACATTGGATAAAATGGGTAAGCAAAACAGATAACACCAGAAGATCAAAAGCGATAACAGCCGACATCATGGAGAATCGCCGGTGAATGAGTTGCAAAACTCGTGTCAGATGTGATTTCTCTCAAAACGGTGCTAACGTAATGTGCACATGACCTCCTTATTGTATTTAAGACAAACAAAGAGGGGAAAAATCAGTATACAATGAGTAAAATAGGTCAATGGGTGTACATTTAACAAAAGTCCCATGTGAATGGGGAGTAGACAAATGGCGACTCAATTCCAAAAACCCAACACTTATTGAAGAAAGGGTAGAACCAGTGAAGTTTTGATATAAAATGCGCCTTATTCGCTATTTTTAAGTTTGGGGCTTTTATCCGCCGTAAGTCGAAACTCGCCTTCACCTGAATTTGCTTCAGGTAATAGATTTGCAACGCAGACTGGCACGATTTCCTAAATAATCAATGTAGAATTCATCAAATTACTACCAGACTCACTTAGTGGATAGGTGTCGTGGGTTTTAATCCCATTCAGGCTGCCGATTTTTTCACAGTTGGGTCAAACGGACAGGAATTTACTCACATATTCCCGAATAAATGGCACCTATCCCCTCTTTAGGTTCCTAGGGCGATTTCAGCAGCATAGAATGCTTTAATGTTGCTATTTACACAGTGCCTTAGTGATGGGATTTTGCCTACCGCGAGACATTTTCCCACACTTTCGAAATATTATTCAATAGGCTTAACTCATTTCTCTGATGTTATGTCGCGAGTAAATCATTGACCACCGTTAGTCACCCGCCCCTAATGAAGCCTTTCACTACTAATTGGTCCATTTTGACATTTTTTAAAGCACTGCTTTCGGCGGTGACTATGGAGTTGCAAATGAGGGTGGTCGTGAAGGCAATGTGAGTTTTTTTCTATCTCCTATCCACCGCCGAGCTTCATTTATTGTGCGTATGTTTATGTTCTTGTTGATGTCCAGTAATCTATATTCTGCGTGACGTTAGTCGATAACATGGCAAACTTTTTTGCCGGACTCAAGCGCTCCGTAAGCCAACTGACAAACATTTCCATTACCAGTTATGTGGAATAATGTAAGGTCGTTGTCTGTTGTGGGCAAGAGCACACTCGGCCCGTACTAAGCAGTCCTAGATTTTGGCGGTTCACGGTGATAGAGAGATTAAAAAGCAGCTTTCCTACCTTTCCTATCGACTGCTTTCTCTCCTTTCTAGCTGTATGAAGAATCACCACCACCGCTGCCCATAACTAAATCGTTCGGGATCTCCCAACCCCGTACCAATAAATGTCCAGGTACGCAGCCTACGAAGCCAACATCCATTTCGCCATCTCTGTCGAGAGTGGAACTGCAGCAGCCTGAATTACGGTCGCCAGAACGATTAAAGCATCAATCCGACTCAGCAACTCGACCGATTTCAACTCTACTTTCCCCATCTGCAGGTCATCCCAAGACATTCGTTGCCGAACTACGGATGAAGCTGGTGTGTGTCAGTTCAGATTTCGAATGAGATGTTGGTTTTTCTGTTGAAAAAAAGCTAACTGCCACATTCTTTTGAAATTTTAGCCCCCAAGAGTCGACGAGTAAGTATTTTGTTTTAAGCCCAGATAACACTGCTGTCGGAAGTATCACCAACAGGGTTATCGGGAGGCTGGACGTAAAATGTATGGCTCTTCGCCCATCAGAAGTACCCCGACCCCGACCTCATAGGCCAAAGTGCTTTGAACCACGATTCCGTTGACCAATGAGACAAGCTCTACCAGTTCGATCGCGAGCTCATGTCCCGTTCGCTGCTGTCGGAAATTTCCATCAGCACGGAAGTAACGTTCCCCCGCCTATCCTTATTGTGTTCCAGAATTCGATCATACTGTTTGGCCTTGGAGGTCAGGCATACAGTCCGTGCTTAACACGGCCTATAAGTCAGAACTGATTATCTTATTTCCACATCGAGTATTGACTACTCAGCAATATGAGGACTGAAGACTGGAACTGTAGGGAAGAACGGAATCACCTGTGTGCTTTTAAGTATTTCCAGTATCAACTGATAGAACTTGGGACCGTGGCTCAAGTGTTTGGCGGTTTCATTCAAATGCCTGATGAGTAACCACCCTGTCATATGTTTCCAGCCCAGACTTAGGGTATAGCTGGTCGTTGGTAGCAATGACCGGTTGTCACTGTCGGTAGCAGTTTGCAATTATTACTTGCTTCTTGTTGTTTTACCTGGTAGGGCTCCAATCTGGGTCTCCAAGACAAGATGAAATGTCCGTTTTTTATCTTACATTCAGAAAAGATCGATAAGTGTCACATTTCTGACAATTCAGTATTTTGGCAAGTATTCAAATGGTCCCCTTTGGTCCTGCTAGGCTCCATATACCAGCATACAGTAAAGACCGATGCATCATTACAAAAACGATGTACACCGGAGGTAAATACTTACCAAACTGATGCGCATAGCACATATTCTCAGTTGTAGAATTCCAGACCCATGCGCTGCCTTAATAGTCATATTTTTAAAAGCTTCCTAATTAGTGTATTTTTGACTCCAGCATCTAAGTCCATCTGCTCCGATGGAAACAAGGCGCTAATGAATTCCTAAGCTACTTGTAGAAAGTGTTGTCTCTTTGTGGAGTAATATTTAAGAGTAGGCAATGTTTATTTACTACCAAATGTTATTCAAAATATTTCTATAAACACAAACTATGTTAGATAGTGCATAGACTTCAAGAACGCCCTTGTGCTTATCAGAATACGCCTACAGTGCTCTTAAAAATGAAGGACCGTACCTACAAGCTCTTGAGCCACAATTCTTGGTTTAATCTGCTTAACTTTTGCATCCTTTTTGAATAGTAGAAATTGTGCTCTACAGCCCTTGAATGTCACCGGCCTAGTGGACGCGTGATGGGAATTGCTAGGTTTGTTGTCCTGACTGAAGCCGGTCTCTAGGAAGGCTACCCCGCGCAGACAAACGTTACGGTAGATGAAGGAATTTCGAGCACCATTTCTTTGGTGGTGGTGGTGGTGGTGGTGGTGGTGGTGGTGGTGGTGGTGGTGGTGGTGGTGGTGGTGGTTGCAATACGACACGACACATTCATCGTCGCAGGCGACGATGTCCACCACTGCCTCACGAACTGGACCCATCGACGGTTATTTGTACGGGAATTTATTCATGGCGATTCGGACTTTCGCCGCATCTACCTCACTCACCTTTCACACCCACTGTGCTCCGGTGGGAAGACAAGATTGAATCAATCGCAGGTGGGCGTCGACGCATTGGCTCGTCCAGGCGCGTCGCACACGACCCCGTCCCCAGACCCACATGCAACAGCCTTTGTTTAAGGGGGTCCACGCATCTGGCTCGCGTAGGTGATAATTCTCCAAGGTTGCATTGAGAATCTCTGCAGTTGGTAACCCAGCAAGCCAAAAATTTTAACGTGTCCCGATAGATTCAAGTGTTTCAGCTTTATTCTACTGGAGCATGTGCTGATTTGTCGTAAGGATGGGTACCTGATGCCGGCCTCGTTCTCTCCCCTCTTACTTGGCCCTATGACTCGTCGGAGTTAATGAAATCTAATGGGATACTTAACTTGTGCAATAGCAAAGTGACATTCCTGCTGAGTTATAAGAGTCCTCGGCAGTATGATAACTTAGCTCCGCGGGGTAAATGAGCAAAGGCGGGAAATGGCCTGGACTCGGCCATTGTTTCATCCTCACAGAGGGAAATTAAACTCCTCGAAAATGTCGTAAAGATCTTTCCCAGGTGGCCTCCGTGGATGTGGCTCAAGGATTAGATTGAACCATGCGGACGATTGGCTTGAAAGTATTATGACGCCGCCTGGTATTCAAGAGATCCCACGAAGCGTATGCGCACTTAACTGTTGTCCCCAACACCAACACAGTAAAGAGAGGAAACGCAGTCGGCCGTGAGAAAATGTACTAACAATCAGGAGGTTCTTGTCACTGAAACGCTGGGTGTATTTATAGCATTCCGTTCAGGTTGGCTAATATTCCGTCCAATGCGCTTCCAGAGAAAGTTCTGTAAGAGTCAAGCGGCTCCTCACAGACATGGACTAATCAGATCTGACGTGAGCACTGTGGCCACAACCAATGCGGGACGCTGTCAAGCGCTCGTTCATGGCATGCAACGTGGGAGACGCGTGCACGCGCTTTTCTGTGAAATTGACTCCTCGTGGGAATGCGGACATCCCCAACAGAAAGACTAGTGAGACCTGGAGGCATCTAACCACCACTGCCTGTGGAGCCAAACCACCAAGGAAGACAACTGTAATTATGATGCGTTCTTCCCCCTCCCATGAATCCGATGTTTTTGTCCAAGTGCAGCTGATAAAGTAGTCAACTCGAAAGTCGCTTTTATATAATCTGTTAAGCCATGAAGGCGGTTCTTGAACTTCTGAGGCAGCAGCAGGAAATGTTTTGAGTACCGCTGTGGTGCTATCGGTGACATCGTCAATGCCTGTTCTGTTGGATAGCCGTACCAAATACTAAATAATAAAATCACTACCGGAATTGTACTAACCCCACTTTTGGTAGCACCAAATCCGTCTGCTTGGTCAACACTGTTCCTGCAATCATTATTGCAACCCAAGTCATCTAAAAACTACAGCTGTGACCGCCACAACTCCTTTCCATCTTTTTAGTGATGTCTCTGAACGGGTTGAGCCCTCAACCAAGCCATTGTGTGAAGAACCTCCTGTTTGCCCTCCACTTACAACACGTCAGGCAGGTTTATTTTTGGCCTTGCAGTTCTTCCGCCTCTCCACTCATTTGTCTGGCTTTAAACGTTCGTTGAAAATGGGACTTTTCGCAGATTTTCCACACTTACGTAGATCATCGTTTTCTCACAAGCAACTTTACCAGTGCGAAGTCGACGAGACATACAGAACTAAATGAATTCCATGAATCTCTTAACCTCAATCAGGCCTGACGGGTTTTTGATGTAACCACAGCTCTCAACTATCCCCTCTCGCATCAGCGCACCTCCCCCCCTCCCGCGCCTTTTGTGGACAACGTTTCCTGTTGCTTATACATCCATCCCACTTGATTGTGATATAATGCTTCCTTGATTAAATGCTTGTTTAATAAGTGCGCAGAAACCATCTGCAGTTATGCAAGAGCACACGATACCTTCGGTGTCATTGAATTATGTCTGTTTTGTCACCTTCGCCCTGTCAAAATCTTTTAGAGTCATAACAGTTTTTAATTTAATGATAGAAGGGCGCTCACCAATCGCGCTACGGAACTCACTCGTCCCATTGTTCCTTGGAGCTCTTGAGCTCCGCTAGCAGCCGCTCAGCGGCGCGTAATATAAGCAGGATGACTTTGCTGGTAAAACCAAGGGAGACTGGAATGACCATTTCTGGCTTATTAGTCGTCTTCAGCTAGTCATACCCAACTCCGAAGTGCGCAACACCAGGGGCTCGATTTCACGACCTGTTGGTTAGAAGTCCAACATCCCTAACCACTGAGCCACGGGCTTGTCCGGTATGCAATGATAGAGACGGCGCTCACCCACTACCCTTGTATATACCTGATCGCAAGTCTTTAGTTTATCAGTCAGTATCAGTCAGTATATTTGGAGTAAACGACAGAAGCCATGAAAACTCCATTTAGAGGGTACAGGTATAGAGTAAAATAGTTAAATTGCAAAACTTTTGCTTGCAGTTTTAGTAGGGAGAATTCATAAATCTAATAATGTAACATAAAGGTGAAAGGGGTATTGTATTCGCAAAATAATTGCGAAAAACTTTGTTCACTGCATTCGGACTGTGAAAATTTCAATATGGGCTAAGTTTGACGCAAAAATAGGATCTGTTGAAATCATGTTAGTAGTATATTTATAGTCATTTCAATAATCCGTTAGATCAGGCTTCGGCAGTTTGGGTTGCCTTTCAGCAGGTGAGTATCCAGTTGTCTCTTGAACACGTTCACGGTAGGGGAATTAACAACAAACTCCGGCAAAGAGTTCCATTGGCGAATGACCCTCTGTGAGAAAAAGGAGGAACGTTGATTTGTGTGGCACAGTTCCTTTTTAAGCTGGTAATCATGTCGTCTGAGATTGGACTTGGGTGCCATTTCAAAAAACGTTTCCCAGTCGACATCCAGATTAAGTCCTTTTACCAACTGGAACGTTGCTATGAGGTCACCTCTGTCCTGCCTGTAGTGGAGGGGATAGAGGTTTAAGGCCGTCAGGCGCTGCTCGTACGTGAAGTTTTTGAGGCCATGAACAGCCTTGGTAGCACGCCGTTGTACACCTTCAAGGATATCTATATCCTTCCAAAGCCACGGCCGCCAAGCCTGTACCGCATATTCCAGGTGCGGCCGCACAAATGTCCCGTATACTTTGCCAAAGACATCTTTATTCAAGTGAATAAACGTTCTGCGTATCGCGCTCATAACGGACATTGCCCGCGCAGCGACTTTAGAACACTGCGTGGTGACGTTTAGATCGTCTTTAATGAATACACCGAGATCTTTTTGCACATCTACGGTTTTAAGTGGTTGATTGTCCAGGAGATACTGTCGTGGGGGTGCATTTGTTCTTCGCCTCGCTGATACTACGTGCATTACTGCACATTTTTTGACGTTGAATTTTATGCACCATTTCTCGCTCCATGCGTGCAAATTCCTTACGTCCTCTTGTAGCATCCTGACGTCATCTTCATCTTTTATCGCTCTCCAAAGTTTAAGGTCGTCTGCAAAGAGCGCTATGTCTGATTTCACTTCCCGTACCAGGTCATTTACATAGATAATGAATAGGAGCGGCCCAAGAACTGACCCCTGTGGGACTCCACTCGTAACAGGTGCCCTTCAGTTATTGGGTGCTTGAACATAATCGATACCGAGTAAAGACCAGTACCATAGTCGCAAATACGTTTTTAGAGAGAGAATGAAACTGGTTCGCCTCTGTTTCCTATGGGTATCCGCTGTACAGACTGCACGCAGGCAAATAAGTCTTCATGAACGAAATCCCTGTGAGTCGACCCTAATTATGCTGGACATTGTGTGCAAATAGGAAGTTTATGTGCATATTACTTTAATTCCAATCACAGCTTCAAGGTTCCTCCGGTTTATATTATTCCTATCTGAAATAGTTATTTCCGGGATCATAAACCAGAGGTCTCAACGACTCTGAAGGCGTGGGCAAAACTGCGATAGTTGATCGTTACAGTGGTTTTTATGTATACTTGTCCTTAGTAGTCCTGTCCGATCTGAACATCTGCAATACAATAGTTCGACCATCGCAGATGACGACGTTTACCCTCCGCCCTACAGTGGGCGCAGGAGGATTACTTGTGCGCGAGTTAGTTTATAGTTAGACAAGCTTGCGCAACATTTGTCTCACTCACTCATCCCTCACTCAGCTGCCTCAGATAGCAAGACACTGCCGAAACGACCGGAGGTGGTCTCGAACGCAGTGACCGACAAAGCTTGACTGCCCATCTGCGTATGCCACACGCAATTTAGCCGCCGCAGCATGCATCAGTCTTTTTGTGGGGACGGACGAACCTTACGTCAGTGAGAGTGGCATAAGGGACTATGTTAACGAGGAGCCATTGCAGTCTGACGCTCAGCCCTAAGAAAGACCTAGTTATCTCATAATGTGGCAACCTTAGTGCGTTGTGATAG